GCTGGTTATGACATATCACCCCTCCCTTGAACCTGTACAGAAAATCCTCAAAAAATTGCAACCCATACTAGAAAGAGACCCTATTCTTAAAAAGATCTTTCCAGAGCCACCCATCCTAGCCTTCAAACAAGCACCGAATCTTGCCAACCTCATCACCAGAAGCAAACTTCCTCAAGCCCAGAACACACCAAAAGGATCCAGACTGTGCCATGACAAGAAGTGCAAAACCTGCCAACACATCTCCACCACCTCCACTATTACTACACCCCACAACAGAGCCATCAGCATCCCAGGATCTTACAGCTGCACCTCCAGAAATGTAATATATCTCATCCAATGCACCAAATGCCCTGATGGAAAATATGTAGGAGAGACCAAACAACAACTGCGCACCAGAATGAACGCAATCCGGAAATCTATCAAAGACAGAAATACCCAATTACCGGTGGGGGCACATTTCTCACAGGAGGGCCACTCTCTCTCCAATCTCTCAGTCCTGATCCTCAAGGGAAACTTACACAACACTTCCCAGAGACGAGCCTATGAGCTCCATTTCATCAGCCTCCTGGATACTAGAGATCATGGACTAAACATAGACATTGGATTTTTTATACATTATAATTTGCCTGACAACTGACTCCCCAGCCCAGCCCCTGGCTTCTTTACTTTTCATTCCATCCAGGAAGAGCACACACCGACTGCTGAAACTTCCTTAGCCTGACGAAGGGTTTTTGAACTCGAAAGCTTGCTAAATAACTTTTCTCCAACTATTTGGGTTGGTCTAATAAAAGATATCAAATTCACCCAAGGAACCTTGTCTGCCTCCACTCCCTCAGCATTGTAGCTCATGATCCAGTGAGCAGTATGGATTACTATTATTTCTGCAGCAGCTCAAGAATCCAATGGAGAGGGTTACGTGTGCATGAACAGAGATCAGGATACCCTAAATTCTTCAAGACTTGAATCATTGTCCATGTAGGTATGTTGGGACATACACAGTGAGAGCAAGTAACACACTCCGTTGGCCCTGAACAGCTTCCAGGCCTGTCTACCAGACAGACTCATACAAAAGAAACATGACCACTCCATGCTGCTCAGGTAAACCTCCAAATGACCTTCTGCTAATCCCAATTCCCCATAAAATCCATCTCAGCTCTTGCCAGTCAGTGCCTGGTAGGCAAGGTAAGGGTCAGGTTTCCAGGGTTCACAAGACAGGGGCTTCTCTGGGTTGCCTTGACAGCCAGGATGAGAGGCTATTGGTCACAATTAATGGAATATATTGAGTTTTACAACCTTTAATATAGGAGTCCCTGTCTAGGCTGGGTACCCATGGCAACCTCTTAAGCATACATTAAACAAAATACAACCCCACAGTTCTTGCAGACCAAGTCAAATAGACCAGACACCACTTACCTGTAATAAACATTCACTGATGCCTCCCCAAACCATTGCTGACAGCTCCATTCAGTACCGGTCTCCTCACAGACGAAGGAGAGGAGCCAGGACTTGCAACACATCCTAAAGGGTTATCCAGGAGGAAGTAGAGGACCCTTTTGGAGGACACCGCTATGGGCTGCCAGCTCTGTACTCAGGTATGCCTACTGTGTGTCAGCAGAGAGAGGCTGTCCATGACAAAAAGCCAATGCCATGATGTTCCTGTGTAATCTGTCCTAATGGGCCAGTGTCAGTCTTTGTGTCTGCAGTAAATTGATGGTGTCAAAAAGCCACTTATGTGTACATGCAATGGGAACTGAGCCCAGTGTGTGCGAAAAATACAAGCCTGGGCCAGGTCTCTTTACCAGTACAGTAATGTCACTTAGTAATGTCAATGTGATATTCTTATGGCAAAAGCCGAGTACAGACTCAGTCATACTGGCAAAGAAAGGTTTTTGCTGGTCTAGTTTGGCCAGGGCTATACTCTGTCAGTTAGGGCAGTGCAATAATCCCACCCCCAGCCTCATATTTAGCATGAACACAGCTGTACTGAGAGAAGCTTGTCCACCTCCTTTACTTTGTCAGTGGAAGCAAGGGGGAATCTATGCCAACAGGAAAGCCTCTTCTGATGGCATGTGCCACATGTCCACAAGGGGGCCATGGAGACCTTGCTTTGCAGACGCAGCTCCGATGCCCAGGTTCTAGCACAGGGAAACCAGCTTCATTTCTGGAATGGGTGTGAATTGTACCAGTCAGACCATCCACTGCCAGCTTATCTACAGCACAGGCGTTGCTGGTGTAGCTGAACCATCAAAACTTTTTTAATGGACATGAGGTATTCAGATATGAATGATTTGTACAAGGCTCTTCTCTTTATGGCCACTATGCCAGTGGTGCTCAAACTCTGGCCTGTAGAGCTCCTTTGAGGGTCCTTCCAGAACCACAGAACCAAATTTCCAGAACGGTGGGAAACCCCACAGTCTGGATGATGTAGCCCCTTGCGCTGGATTGCATCTCTGCATAGTTGTACTGCGGCTGGATCCAGCATGCAGGGTTGTATCAGCACACCAGATCACACCCATGGACCAGCACTATGAGCCAGCCCCACACTGGGCCTTGCCCATGAATCAACCCCACACATAGGATCTAGCCCGTGGACCAGCCATGCAACACTTGTCCAGCCCACAGGGCTAGGTAGATTGAATGGCAACACCAATAAAGCCTTATCACCACAGGAACATAGCAGTCTAGGGAAACAGGGTCGCATTCTGAATCTTGTTTTACAGATGGAGAACTGAGAAGTCAGGAAACTGATTTCAAAAGCACCAAGCACCAGCAAGTGCTGTTAACTTCATCTAGAGAAAGAAGTGCTCAGTAGCTCTGAAAAATTAGGTCTTGGGTGGGACCTTTTTCTGGGGCTACATGGGCTGCTCAAAATTATCTAAGAAGGCCACGGCAGAGCTAAGAATTAAATCCAGCTGCTGTGAGTCTTACTTCTATGCCCTAAACATAGTATCATCTATTGTCTGAAGATAATCAACAGAAAGAAAAAGGGGGAGAGAGATTACAAATGCAGGTTTTCTTACAGAATTATTTTTGCTCAGCTAAATTATTTTTCTTTCCAGCTTGTAACAGCTGCAGGCTGGCAGGGTCTTTACTTGCTTATTGTTACTGATAAAGGTTGGTACAAGCTTGCATTCATAGTAAATCACGCTAGTTGCAGGAAACCTTATAGGAAAGCATGGCGCTACATACTGCAATGTTAGCAACTGAAGTTTTTAGCTTTGTTTTAGCACTGAGCCACAGCCATCTACAATGTAAAGACACAATTAATGCTAAGGACACTACTAATGCTGGAAAGCTGGTCTGAAGCTGATTCCCACCTTACTAAAAGTCCTGGGGTCCTTTTTTTAGTAAGAAAAAGCATATGGAACTTTTTTGGTATGAATAAGATGTTGGCTGTGATTTTCTATTCCAACATAGGACATTCTGTTCACTCTGCCTACATTTTCTCTGAAAAAACTGGATGTATTATTCTTCAGTTCCTTTCCCTGGGTATTGAATATTATGGTCAGGAAGGCCACAGCTCCTGATCTTTGCCACACTGGGGACAAATGTTTATCCATATAAATGCAAGCTGTACTCTTTCCATGTTACAGGAAACAAATTACTGAATGCAGCAGACTGAACAAGTAGGGAGTTCCAAGGAGAAGCTTCACAGCCACAGGATATCCAGGGTCTCTTCCTTAGGATATCAATGAATCCTTGATGACATGGGAAATTCTTTTAGGAACATGACAATGTTTAACCTCTTTGCACATCCTGGGGTACTCTGGAAGCCATGCAACATATACAAGATGTGCAGTCATACCTAAGTCATACATCTAGATAGAACAGAGTTTTCCCAGATGTATATTTTTAAAAGTTACTTGTCCTCCATCCCCAGCAGACAACCACTATGTCAGTTTGTAGTCATGGCAATCTGTGTTCAAGAGACTCCTGTAGCAAGTGTCTTCGTCATTTTTCTAAGCATTTCAAGGGGTCATGCTAGACAGGAAGATTCTTAAAAAAAGACAAAAAACCTCCAGAAATCCTGGTGCATGGGTATTACCAGCTTGGATCTGGCATCTGAGTTCCAGGGCCAAATACATTGGGAATGAAATTTCACCCATCCTCCTGGATTGGTTCCAGAATGGACTACTGATGCCCATAAGAAGATCTCTGTATTATGAGTGGTCCACAGAATGCCCAGGAGTACAGACCTTTCCCCCACTGCATGAAGCATACAATGGCTCAGCTGAACTGCAGTCCTGGCAGCTAAGGGAGCACAAAGATTGCTCCTTAATTAATCTCCCAGCACAAGTGGGGAGAGAGCAGGCAGAGCCATGGCTCTGGGGGAGCACTCCTTGGGCAGATGCAGTAGTTTGTGTTCTGCCCCTGCTTCAGGAAGCTCCCCAGAAGCAGTGCAATAAGCCATCCCCAGTACAGGGCAGCAATGGCCCAATCCTGCCCTAAGTGTTTTGCTGGGATTTTCATCAGAAACTGCTAACAAAACAGCTATGAGTTATGCCCAATTAATTTAATAACTGACCAAACTATACTGACTGGCAACTACAAAATACGAAGTGAACAGGAAAAGTGATGGCATAAAAGTGGGAGGAACAGTGTTCATTATACAAAAGCAAAACACACTGAACGGCAGTCAGGGGTTCAAATATGACACACACGGGCACGTACAATGCTGCATAAGTGACAGCACACACAGATATTTGTTATGCAGGAACTCCGCACGATGCCTGCCTCTTGATTCTCCACTGCATCCATGGGGCAAGGAAGCTGAAGTTCTTTATTCTCTTACATAAATTCTCGTGCACACAACATCATCGGCACCAAAAGTCTGGAAAAGAAACAACAATCAGTCTGCAGAGATGTAATGGGCAGAAATTAAATGCAGTTTGCTTATTATTATATTCCTTTTACTGTGCTAGCTAATACAGAGCAGAAATTCAATTTCCTGTGTTCTGTACTAAAACATGGAAAAACATTGCACCTTTGTCTAACTCAAAGAGTAGGTTTTGGAAGGGGGTGTGCTGTAGGTTACTTTCCTTCCCAGACACATGAATTGGGTCAGAATGATAAATGGCCTAGAACCCCAAGTCTTCTACAGCTTCCTGTCCTGCATTTGCAAAAGAACACAAGAGTGGGGCGAGGAGTTGGAATAAGCTGTAGCTTTTATATGTAAAAGCAGTCTCTGAATCAGAGTAGCTGAAGTAGAATGGAGCTCTGCTGATTTGCACCAGCTATCAACCTATGACTGCAAAGCTCATGTATGAAGTGGCCTTGCCACACTTGCCAATTGCAATCCTTGCTGTCTGGAGACTGCATAGGCTGTGTGCAATGTCCCTGTCACTGTTCCTGTTCCATTGCTCTTTATCCTACCCTTGAAGGGAGAGATACCTTCATGCAATACCCAGACAGTCCATGGCCCCCTGTTGAGTCAAATACTAAATATGCAAGTTCTTATGATGGATTGTGATGTGGACCTACACTTAAGAGGTGTCTGACTGAGACTAAATTAATTTCCCATTATATGACTTTTGGTCATCTGAGAGTTTCTGACTCAGTGATTAGGAACTCTCTTTGTCCCATTAACAGTCCCTTGAGCCACCCTGCTCTCCACCCATCCTCAGTAACTGACCAGTCCATGGAGGTCCTATGTACTGCATTCTTGGTGTTATACCACTGACTTCAATAGAGTTGGCAATATGTCCCCTAGTGTCTGTCACTCAGTGGTATGGAACAGTACTTAACTGGTAATTCCATTGGAGCAGTATCACAATAATGATTATTCAGGACATCAGAGGGAAAACAGTAATTATACTTAATGGAAGGTGAGGGCATAGGCACAAGTGGGTTTGTGTGTGCCTGCAGTTCAGACACTGGCTGGACTGACACTAACTGATGATCATAGAGTTAAAGATAGCTAAACCATAGAAGATGAAGGAACCATGGAAAAGTGAGGAAATACTGAAAATGAAAGTTTTCCTTCACTCAAAACAGGTTGGTTTTCAAGGTCCCTTTTAACAAGGGATTGGGCAGGATCCTTAGCTAGCGTACACTGATACAGCTCCATTTAATCAAGTGAATCTGGGTCAGCCCCAGGGTGCTGTGAAAACTCAGCTGCACTTTACTTATAAAAAAAAATGATGCCACTGTTTTGTTTGGGCTGTCACCTTTTCAAAATGACTTGGCCAAAAAAGTGTAGCTTAATATTATTATATTGACCTCACTGACCTTAAGTATTCTCAGGAAGGGAGAGATGGCAGAGGGGTAGTGAGGAGTGACAAAGATATCAGCACCATTTTTTTATATAGAGCTGACACTATGCTTTAAAAAAAAACTTGCGCATCAAAATGTCTGGAAATTAACAGTAAAGGACCTAAGCAACTCCCAAATACCGTATAATCATCATCATTCCCAGTCCCTACCCAGGAGACACAGCACCTACCCAGCTGAACCTGGCTCCCTATTAACAATTGCAAGAGCTGTGGCAGAGAAAGGACATGAGGGACAGACTGGACCCCCACAGGGCTCTCATGGTTGTTATGCTGGTCTACAGCAACTTTATTTAGATTGGAAGGTATTTGGGGCAAAGACTGTATGTTTATTTTAAGTCTGTACAGTGCTGAGCACAAAGATGCCATGGCCCTGGGTGCTGCCTACAGACAGTAAATAACAATAGTCATAACATTTAAACAACTGATTTGTAAGAGAACAAACTCTTCCCCTCAGGCCTGTGCAATCTGCATTGTCCATGTATTCACAGACAGAAAGGGAATGCTGTAGCAAAAAGATAGACTAGTACAGACACAACTTAGAAGCCTCAGGATGCAACCACTGGGTTGCCAATGGATCCTGTGGGAAGACTGTGTGCATGTCTTACAGAAGAAGATGACCTTACATAATCTGGGGGAAGGGGTATGGTGTAATGAAGCAATCAGAAGGATGATTTCTTGGTAATGCTTGTTACAGAACCATGGCAGAGAGTGGGAAAATGAGGTTAGAAACTAAAGAAAAGCAGAATGAATAAACAGTAGTCATGAATAGTGTCAGGTATAAGAAGTGATTTAGAGACAGCTTTTTCATTATCAGCTTAGACCTACTCACAACCTCCACCAAGAGTAAACCCTGAGTAACACAACTCTAGTCTTTCTTTACATGTACATTTCTTCCCTAATGATTTCTTCTTCCCCATGCAAAGAGGTCAAACCCATGCTAGCTCAAACACACTGCATAGTAGTTAGAAGACTCATTGCTGAGTGTTACACACTGACACAACACTTTTCAAACACAGCAACACATTCCTTTGCTTAAGAACCAAACTAGACCATGTGGCTTCTGATGTATTGTAGAAATATGCTTCATTTTTTACCTTTTATATGTTATATCATGTAGGTAAAAAGTTATAAAAGGAAGAAGCACACATTGCCTCCAGTATGTTCTCTGAATTAATACTAAACAATGAATTCAGAGACAGACCTAGAGTAAACCTCAGCATGCACACAACCACGAGGGCACGTTCTATAAAAGGGTTACACAGCAGTGTTTCCTTTGTCCATTAGTAGCATCCCTGGAGCATAGCCTCATTGCTACACACCCACATGCTCAAGTGCTAATAATTAGTTCTTTTAGTTCTTGAAATTGTGGTCAATTTGTTCAGTGATGGAAAATCTTTGTAATTTCTGTAGGCTTTCTAACACTTTGTGTCTCAGAGCTACAGCTACCAGCCCTAAAATCACAGGGATATTGCTCTTTAATTCAGAACATATTTAAAAGTCTGCTTTAAAGGAATATATCCTAAAAATATGAGAACAACAGATATAATATTATTTCTCAAATGCACCTCTGTCATGAGAAATTAATAAAAGGCAACATAAGCCCTTCTCAACCACTTTAAATTGCAATGGCAAGTGCAGCAAGAGGCCCAAACCAAGGGGCAGATTCAGATGGAAGGATTTTACCTAGCTACTCCTCCCCTAAGAAATTCATACAGATTTGGACTAAGAGATTAGGGATTGATTTGGTGAGAATCCCTCTATTTAAATCTGTCCTTAAGGTTTTAGTTCTGGGCTGGCGGCAGCAGGGAAGGAATCTCATCAGAACAAATCTTGAGTGAATCCTATAATTCAAGGGGACAGGAAGCTCAAGCTCTGGAGCTGACATCTCTCAAGAGCATTTTATAGGAGTCCAGCACTGTCAAATCTGAACCCTATGTTAATGAGAAAGGGTGGGCTTTTCAAAGGTGCCTTTTAAATTTGTTTGATGATGACTGTACTCACCTTGCAGGGTGCTTTGAAGCTTTAGGTTTATAAAGTACTTGATCTAAATCTACAGAATTGGTGCGTCTTAAAGGTACTATTTTCACAATGGCATATAGTGTCCTGCACCTGGCTTGTCACAAACCACATCTAAAAGTGACTGGTAACTCACTGCAAACAAAATCCTGCAGAATGGGATAATTCAACAAGTTGCCTTCTGCCAGTTCACTGGGGACCTGATGAAAAGCCCCACAAAAAAATAATCAATGGAACGGCTTCCATCAGTACCAATAAACATTACATCAGGACTTTATCAGAGACAGTCCTACAGGTAAACCAGCTTTTCAAAAGGATCTTCCTTAAACATGCTATCCATGTGGCCATTAGCAGAGTGAAATACATGATACATTCAGGAAGGACTCTTGCACAGAAGCAATTGTTGGGTCAGCATCATTTATATATATATTTTACTTTGCTATATTTATGCTACATGCTATATAGTCACAAATGACTTCATGACTCATGCCTTGACCTGCAGTACCAACTTACGAGAGGGAGAGAATGTGCATCCCCAAATAACTACAGCGCAGAGGGCTCTTTTTATGTGCATAGCACGTGCCATGCCCAAAAACCTTCTGAGGATCCACACAGAAAAATAGAAATTCCCTCCCTACTGTACACCCACAGCAAGACATGTCTAAACAGTCAAAAACAATCTGCCCTTCAAAAAATGAAAGGGAATTACTTTTTGGTCTTTAGTGCTTCAGTGGGAGCAGACCCTCTTCTGGATCACTATTTTATTTAAAATCAGGTTTTTGGTTTGTGTTTTAAAAAGGAAGATTTAATTCTTTTCATAACAAGATCCAAGCCCAAGACACCTGCCTGCACACTTTGGCACTTGGCTGTGCAGTATTGTCCCAGATCAGTCCTGGACCTTCTTACCTGCTGTGTTTTATTTCAGAATTCAGCAATATCATTTAAAAAATGTTCACTCATTCATCTCTGCTCCACAGTTCAACAGTTTTAATCGAGTACAGCACGATTTTCTAGGGAGAGGAAGGGGGGTGGAAACCCTGCTTCAGACCCCTTGCAGTTCTGATCTTTGACCCTTGCTATAATTGATTCTGAGAACCCCTGTGTGATATGTGAACTGTGCAAAATTTGGTTTGAGGCTGTTTTTAAAGCCCTGCTTCACAATTTGCCTACCTGATAGTATTTGTGGTACAGAACACCAAAAGGGGAGAAGTCATTAAAACAGGAACATAGATAAATAGAATAAAAACTATTCTCAATTGAATGAATTAACCCTTGGAGGCAGCAGCCTTTAATTCTGGGGAAGAGCAGACCCTTTGTTCCTCTTAATATGCACGAGTGATTGACAGTTCATTAATATTGCTATAAAGCTATAAAGACTATAGAATCAAAATTAGAAGCGAAGGGGAAAAGACCTAATTTTAAAGTAACCTGAGCCCTAAATCTTCATTTTAGGTCAGTATATGAAGTGTATGCATTTGTTGGGTCAGATTCTGAACTTGTTTACATTGTTATAAATCTGAAGTAACTCCAGTAAGAAGAATTCTGGTGTGTGTAAAATGATGGTCCTTTGTTATAATCCTAAAGTTTATGCTGTCAAAATAAGCAAATCTGAATTGCAATGTAGCTGCACTCTTACCTGCACCTTGGTTGGCAGAGCCTATGTAACTCTTTATAGACATTTTTATTAAAACTTACTGGAAAACACAAATCAATAAATGCTTTAGAAAGACAAAACAAAAATCCCCAAACAGCACCAGAAGTCTGTCACTAATAAGCAACTCTACACTAACAATTCTGAGGGAGAACAGGAACAGCACAAAGAACTGAGACTGCACCACCGAGCTTCCCACAAGACAGTCAGAAACAGGATTGGAGAAAACAGCTTTACAGTTTTTAAAATAGGCTACCATAACTATACAAAAAAGGGGAGCTGTAGGAGGTGGGTCGCTAAACCCACAGAACCAGTTTTTAGTTTACAAAAAATAAGTTCCCTGAGTTGTCATAAGAAAAGGAGCAACAGAGTAAACAGAGAGCAAATATAATCTGTGTTAGAAACGTAGTAGACAAGAAGAATCATCTTGGTAGTAGAATGTATCATGCTTTAATGCAAGTAACTCAAAGCTGTCTCTTCTCTAAGAGGACTGGAGAGACAGTTCTACTACAGCAAGGGACAAATCCTGCCGGCTCACCTCATGGGAGCAGTCTCAGTCACTGGGCTGGTCATTTCCATAGTAAAAACCTGTGGCAAGAAGCTAAAGACACCTTTGTGGAGATTTTTCCTAACTCCCACTCTGCTTCCTACCAGCTTGGTTCCAGCTTAACCATATTGCCTCTTGCTGCAGCTGGTATTTATAGTCTTTTTTTAAACAACAGTCTCCTCCCCAAAGGGAGCTCTGTGAAAAAGCTACTTCTGCTTCAGATTGCATCCCTTTGCCCAAGCAATGTCTGCAAGGGAGCAAGGAGAAAATCTTGAGAGGAACTTTGAAGCTGGGAATCATTATTGGTTAAGTTGATGCCCCAGGGTAAATTTCAGTCCATTGTGGAGCTGCCCACTCCCAACCCACACCTATGAAACAGCCTCCTTAGAAGAAAAAGGTAGAAACTAACACTCAGTAAAATCCCTTCTCCCATCATGTGGGAGAAAGCCAACCCCCAGTGGAGGATTTCTTTTCAGGAGTCGAAGCGTACAGCTTGACCCATTGAATTCAATCAGTGGGACTACTTGTGTGGATATAGCAAAAAGGTTTGGGCTTCAGACAATGTAGCTGTACCTTTTCAAGGGCCAAGTGGCACACGGGAGAGGTATTTGGGCCCAGAATGCCCTGAAGCTCTGAGCATCCAGCCTGCAATCAAAGGGCAGTTTTTGTGAACAATGACAGACCAGAAAGAACCTGACACCCTGGTGACATGATTAGTTCTCTTCCAGCTAAGGGAGGAATAACCTAACGCTGCAAGAGCCTTTTCTTTTTCTACTCACTCAAAAATAAACATTAATAATGCCGGCACTATAAGAATGGAGAGGACAGTAAATTCAGTCATGTGAAATAATGCAGCTGTCATCAGGAGAAGAAGGGTGGAGACAGGCTAATGGTTATACCTGGAGACAAAGAAATCATCTTAGCCAGCTGAGTAATGAGTTCATACCTGGTGTCTATGTGACAGAGGCCATCATATGACCCAGGGGTAATGCTCTAAAGATAGCACCTCTGGAGAATATAATGAACTACTTCTCTTGGGATGCAATAAGAGAAATAATTTCATTACCTAACAATATGGTTTCCATTTTAGCTCAACTGTAGTCATGACAATCCTATATTACTTATTTTTAAAATGTGGCAATAATAAATATGTTTTATTTAACATACTGTGTTGGAAAGAAAATCTATTCTTCCACTAGGGAAGTGTCATAATCTAAATAGACCCTTCGTACGCTGCAGCCTATTACATTGAAATTACATGGCAAGGTTCCAAGATTTATGCAGCCAGAACTAGCAGAGCAAAACCCATTCCTTACCCCCTGCCTACTGCCTCAGTCCTCTTCCCCATCGAGACCCCAACCTAGCAAAGTTTAGATTCTTCCCTCAGTTTACTTCTATTTTGACCATAAGCTTCATCTGACTTCAGCAGACATGTAGCAGCAGCTGAAATGAAGTTAGGATTTTCAGAGAGTTGGTTTTGGGTAGAGAAGCAGCCCCATTAAATGCAACAGGAACTGAGTTGTCAAACCCCCTCCAAGACTTGAAATTTTTTATCCAGTGGGAGAGTACACTGTGTCCTGCTGGTGAAACAAAGCAAAGATTACTGTGTTTCAGAGATGGGAAAGAATACTACCTTTTAAATGCTAAATAATGAGGACAGGTCACTGATACAGAGTGATCAGGATCACTTTTGTAAGCTGAATAGAAGTAAACATGCATTTTAATGCAGCCAAGTGTATATTCGGACATCTGAGAACAAAAACCATAGATCATACTTACAGGAAAGGAGATCCTATCCTGGGAAGCAGTGACTCTTACAAGAACTAGAGTTCATGGTGAATAATCAGCAGAACATGAGCTTCCAGAGATGCTGTGGCCAAAAGGGCTAATGTGATCTTTGGATCCACAGACAGGGAAATCTCAAATAGGATGAGGGAGGTCATAGCCCTCTATTTTTGGCAATGGCATGACTGCTAGTGGAATACTGTGTCCAGTTATGGTGACCACAATTCAAGAAAGATGTTTATAAACTGGACATGGTTCAGAGAAGAGCAATGAAAATGGTTAAAGGACAGAAAAACCTGCCTTACAGGGAAAGACACAAGATGCTCTCTCAGTTTAACTTAGAAAAGTGGTCAGAGATTGAAGGGATTGGTGCCTGTAAGTATCTACATGGGAAACAGAAATTTGATCAGAGGCAGTTCCTTGGCACAGCAGACACAAGATGGAAGAAGATATAATGGCTGGAAGATGAAGCTAGACACTTTCAGACCAGACATAAGAGGTAAATAATCAACTGTGAAAATAACTAACTACTGAAACTGAACAAGATTGTGGATAGATATCTATCTCTGAAAAGACTTAAATTAAGGGGTTGGGGAGGGAGCTCTAGGATATACCCTAGTTCAAACAGGAATTAATTCAGAGAAGCCTTACAACTTGTTTTATCCAGAAGTAAGACAAGATCATCACAGGGGGTCCTTCTGACATTACAATCGATGAATCTCTATTGTATTTCCCAACTAAACCTTCCTCTCTTTCCCCAGCCAAGTCAGTTTATGTCAGCAGTGCAGAAGGCAATGGTATTATGATTGGCTCTCCTGCTTGGCTTGCAGAAGTTGGCCTTGGATCAGCAGCCACCTCATTAGCTTGTTGCTTAAATGACAAACTCCAAAAATGCCTTGTGAGTCAGTCATAAATATGAGGCTGGAGAAGAACTGTTGCTCAGGGTAATTACATGTATATAATGTATAAAATAGTATACCTACCTTTGTGTGTGTGTGTGTGTGTGTGTGTGCGTGTGTGTACATATACATGCATGCGCAAGGCATGACATGGATTAAGGTGCCATGCCTCCTAAACTATATGGATAAAATAAAGATGACGGCAGCTTAGCAGAGAAATTATCAAGAATTTGAGCATTCAGATTTATGGAAGCCAATGTGATTTCATTAATAGCATCAAGCCCATTTCTAGAAAGTAGATGCACTATTCCCTGATGTCTGGAATAACATTATCATTCTAAAAGTTTTCTGTTTTCACATCGTTTATTTTGGGTCTTTTTTTCTCTCCTCCTAACCGCTCTGCAGAATACTGGACATTGTGTGGGAACATTCAGAAGGACAAATACACAAGTGTTCTGAATAAAATATCTCCTACCTTGCTCCAGTCCCCACAGCATGTCTTCCCTGCTGAGGCATTATGGGATAGACAGCTAGATTTACCCAGTGTGAACTGACATACCCAAGCAGTTCAGAAGATCTGGCCACAAACTGAATTGTTGTATTTGTAACTAAGTTAAAGTGGCAATGCCTCTAGCCAGTTACTGATCACAGTTGCAGCTGCATAGATTCATAGAAGGGAACTCAATACTAATGGAGATGAGAGCAGTGTAAATAAATAGTCCGAATGTGACTCACTGGTTCAAATGCAGAGAACCAGTTCCAGTGCGGCAGAACTGCTGATGTATTCCTGCTCAAGTGTGCAGTGTGTCAGAAGATTGGGCAGAGGGATAGCCAGGACTGAATGTGTAGAAATAAGGAAGATGAGAGTCCAGGGGACTCTGAAAACAGGGGGCAACTCTGAACTGGATTTAGAGATGAGAAGAGACTGAGGGAAGGTGGCAGAGGTTCCTGCTTAACTAAATAAGATTAGATCATGTTAACAGTATGCCATATTCCCAGTTGTCCCACACCATGTGACTGTGTGTAAGAAGTAACACTTTACGCATGTGCTGAAAAAGGAAAAGGAAAAGGGTACTTTTCCGGTAAGTTGAAGTGGGCAATTCTGCAGAAATGATGTCAAACTCTCTGATCTCATTTTGACTGCAAAAAATCTGCTATTACTCAACTGAACTTATTGGAGTTTCAGATTTACACAATAGGATTTACCCACTTGTGTTAATTTGACCACTACATGTGCAGAGGTAGGTACAACAATACAATATGAATGATAAAACCTCACACATATTTGGCAAAGTTCTTTGAGAGCAACAATTTAAAAAACCTTGTGTGCTACCTGTACTTTAGCAGATAGGAGAATTGTGGTTTTTCAGGTGCATTTAATATAAACAGCATGTTTCATACTGAAAAAGTAACAGTCGCACAAAATAGCAACAAAAGTCATTAGTGTAACTTATGCACTAGAAAGGCTAAAGGTTCTTACCAAAATCAGCTCATCGTTAGATAATTCCCGAGTCCAGTAGGTTTTAGGACCATCTCCCTCAATAAGGGTTTGTTTGCAGTAGATCTTGTTTTCATTCTCCCAAGTGGCCAAACTCTGCAGGCAAGAAAACCATTAGTAGTAACATTAATTATTTTCCCTGGCACCATGAGGCAGGGAGACAACAATGAACACTATGGAGAATAATTGCTGCAGTAAAGAAGCAACACATGGAAGATAATAGCAAAGAGAGAAAACACATCAACAGAACGTGGTCAAACCAAAATTAAAGTTTTGGTGGCTGTTTTGCGGAAAGGTAGATTAATAACATGGGAAACTACTAATGCAGCATTTTAATTTATTTTCAGTCATCCAAACTAAAAGGCCTCCAATTCTCATAAAATGCTTAATGATGAGAAATGTAACTTATTGACATGTTATTCTGTAGTATCTATATTCTCAGGCATCTTTATAAAGGTTTGGGATGATTTGACATGCTATTTATCCCTTTGTAACTCCTTTAACATAAAAGCAGCTAGAATCACATGTAATGCTTTGTGCTTATAAATAATGCATATTTACCACTTATAAAACTTTTAAATGGCACTGTTCCAAGTTAACTGCACATTAAGCATACAAGCCAGAGCACAACACGACTATATTAAAGAAGCTTTACTAGCAATCTGGTGTTATCCTTTTCTTAAGACTGTGGGTCTGGAGATGGACATTTTATATTGCCAGGGTGTATTTTTTTCATTTGAAATAATTAGTATAAAACCATTTTGAAGTGAGAAATCATAGGATATCAAACTGTTTTCACAAGCAGGCTTTCTACTGCTTTTCATCTGCCTGCTAAATTATTGTTTCACAATGCAGTGGAACAGCTGTGCAGACGGATGTCTTATAATGAATGTATGAGTAATCACTTTACAACTAGCACATGGGAAACATTCATTAGCCTATGATGATGAAAAATTAAAGTCAATAATTCCTAGAGTATCCAAAAGAAAAACTTTTCTTTGGTATAAAAATTAGCTATTCCCTTTATAAGGAAAGTGAATCCTTCAAAAAGATAGCCTTTGAAAACCAATGTGCCATTCCAAAAAGCAAAGTTGCAGATGCCATGTCTTTTATTCCAAATACACTGAACCCCTCTTTGTTTGTGTGAACAATAGATTAACTTAGACTGCAAAACAAGACCCTCTTCCCCCCATAAAGTATTTCAGAATCTATAACCATTCAACTACTTTGCCAGGTACTTCACACTACATTTCAAATTGCTATTTTACTACCCGTCACTTTCTGCATTGTAGCCACATCTCAGTTTTACACACGCAGTTTAGCAGTATAGCTTGCTCATGAGACCCAACTATAAATAATTTCACACCACATGGAAAAAATTTACTCCATCACAAAACACATTTTTTAGATTTTGCCAACTTTTGAAGCATACAGCGATAATTATTGTTTTTCCAGATTTAGTCAGACATTTTCTCCTAAAAATGTGATCAAATACAAATGTTGTGTACATTATGCATGATCAAATCCAAATTTTATTCTTGCAAGTAGAATAATATTAACAAAACCAGAGCTACTTTGTGAATTATTTAATCCTGCTCTTTTTTTTTCATCCTAGAAATTCAATGGGAATTGCTGCTATTCAGTATCCCTGAGGATGGGGCCTCCAGGTGTATCAGTTTATATTCAGAGTAACTGTTCTGAAGACCATGGGATGACTGAATTTGCACTGATGCCAATGATCTCAGACACTGGTCCAGGGATGATCAGAAATGACACTTTTCCCAATGCATTGTTCTAACACTGTTTTGTCTTCTTTTAAAATATGACTCCTTATGTGCGACCAGACTCTGATTCACCCTTACTCACCCACAGCAGTGCCTTAGGCTGCCAGTATTTCCTCTGATCAGAGAGAGGTGATCAGAGACTGCAAGAGCTACTCAGTAGGAGTAAAGGGTAGCTAACCTGGGACTACCAGAACCCGCCTTTCACCCACACACCGTGACCGACTGCTGCACGGCCTGGCACCTGGCACCCGGCGCTTTCACATGGCTGCAAAGCGTGAAAGACCCGGTCGGTCAGAAGAACTGCCCTGCCTGGGTCAGCCGTAGGTATCCCAGTGTCCCGGCACAAGAGCTACTCAGTAGGAGTAAAGGGTAGCTAACCTGGGACTACCAGAACCCGCCTTTCACCCACACACCGTGACCGACTGCTGCACGGCCTGGCACCTGGCACCCGGCGCTTTCACATGGCTGCAAAGCGTGAAAGACCCGGTCGGTCAGAAGAACTGCCCTGCCTGGGTCAGCCGTAGGTATCCCAGTGTCCCGGCACACAGCTGCGGAGCGGGTGAGCGGACAGGGCATGGCCGGGTTTTCCCCGCCGTTCCCGAGTCCCTCGCCGCCCCCAGCACTCCGGCTCCTCCGCCGTCCAGTGCCGG